AGCTTCCCGTGCAAATGCACGGGTAAACAACTAGTAATTGTTTATATTTATGCATGCCATCATTATATTAATTTTAATATTGGGATAAAATTTTCCCACTAGATCAAATGATGGTCTAAATGAACCCCTCCTTCATAATTAATTTGGATTAGTGTTAAAATATGTTATAATATACACTTGTAAGTTGTCTTACATCATCTATACAAGATGAATTGCACCAGTTGGTTTTAAGATGGAACCCCACTAAGTCCCATCTAAGCTCATCCTGTTTGATGCGCTTCACGTCCGTGTGACCGCACTCGTCAACTCTCGTTTCTTCAAAATCGTTGTTGAAATAATTTCTTCAGAAAATTATACTTAGTCATCCCTCTACATAAATAGTAACTTGCATTATCAAAATATAAATTGAGCTACAAACTCGGTGATGAATAAATAATTCCTCAACAGCAGACACTTGAGAGTGGAGAATAAGGACTAAGATGGGTAAAGCAGCACAAACTTTGGTCTACAAATAATCATAATTAAAATTTTCAAATGCCATCAAGATTTAACTGCCTGGCTTGATAATGAATTTCAAATTCCACTTGGAAAACACAAATCAAGAGGGGCAAAAAGGGGAAAATATGAGACAAAATTAGCCATTGAAGGGCAACTTATGTTTCAACTTTTAGTAGTAAAAATGATTGTAGGAAATTAAGAAGTTTTTGGGAGGCTAATTGAGTTTGATATGGTTTTAAGAAAGGGAGATTGGTAGATGATGGGAAGATAAGAAGCATTTTTCTTCCCATTGGCATCATTTTGTTTCCCATATAAGTGGACTTTTTATTTACAACTCATGTATTGATTTTATGTGGATTGATTTTACTCAACCCCACTTAGGTCTTGCAACTTTTTTAGAAATTAAGTGAAGATTAATTATTTTATTGAGTTTTCTTGCCAATAAGTACAATATTTGATTATTTTTTATTTATTAATTTGTGTCCACCCTTTTTGATCACCCTTATATGTAATTTCAGAACGCGCCTGATCTAAAGTGTCATGCTCGTATGTTTCGTAAGCTTAGTTGGTATAATTTATGTTTCGTATTGACAAATGTACTTGTTTGGTTTTGACTATTAGGCTTAGGAATTACGATAAACTATTTTAGTTCTATTTTTTTTTATTAAGTCACCATATACTACTCTTACATTTCCTTATTTTATTCATATATTAATTATTATAAACATGTATACTTTTTATTTTTAAAACTTTATAACTTTTTTATTGTATTTATTTTATATATGTCATATCAAAATAATCATATTTTAGCTATCTTCGATTTGACATTCATATTGCATATATAAAATAAAAATAATTTCAACCATCTTCATAAATAAAACTAATTTTATTATCAAATAAATTTAAAAAATATTAAATAACAAATAATAAAATTTTAATTCATTAATACACCATAAAATAATCACTTTAATGTGTTATTTCTTCATACATTATGGATAGAACATAGGAATAAATGTTACATAAAATAATTTTTTAAGATTATTTCTCTATGTAAATATATTATATAAGCAACTGAGTTATTATGTTGTTTAAAATAATAAATATAATGACATATCATAACTATTACAATAAAAATACTTTTATATTACATAAAGTTATAAAATAATACATTTATGCGTAAATTCATATCCTAAATTATTAAACTATATGAATTTAAAATACTTATTAATTTAATAAACGAGAAACGGGTGTCTTTGTAAATATAAACTACAATCACGATGCAAGTATTTTTCTTTTTGAATAAAATAAATGAAATTTTAATAATATTTGATTTAGACATATACACGTGTAAAGTATAATTAAATAATATCTTTGACAGATTTAGTGTAAAATGCGGGACACTATTTTGAATTAGTTATCACTTTGTTAGTTATTTATTAGTTATTACTTTGTTAGTTATTTATTATTGTTGTGTACTCATTATACATAATTTTGTAAATAAAAATATAAATTTTTTTATTTTTTTTTTATAGCACACATATCAATATATTTAAGTATTCGTTAGTACACGAGTATCATACTAGTTATTTATTGTATCACATGTAAAATGCTACTAAAAGTGAAAGCAACTCAATATGAAATGTTATACATAAGATGTATGTATATATATATTTTTTTTTTTTCTCCCACGCAACATGGGAGCACAAAAATGATTTTGTTTTATTTTTGTTGAATATGTTCAATTGTCAAATTGGACTATTGTGGTTTAAAAAGATTATATATTGTAGCATTGCCAAGAGACTAACACACCTTTATGTTAAAAGAAGTCATAACAACCGATTACAACCAACAGGGGTTGATTCAAGTAGTAAGCAGCTTGATGTCGCTTAAGCAAGGTCTCGGGTTTGAATCCTTGTGAATGCAGAAAACCTTTGTTGGGAGACTCACCCACCAGTGTCAAGTGTACGACCCGAGTCGACCACCGGATTAGTCAGAACAACACTCCAAATACCGTGGCTGGCTAAAAAAAAAAGTCATAACATGAAATCATAAATGAAAATAGAGGTAAGCAGTCTCTTTACATGTTTACAATTGTAATTTAAGTGTCTTTTTTGATTTTTGATGCCCATACATACTAATCAAGCATTGGACCAAAATTGAATTTAAGTCAAAATAGTAGTACAACATGCAAAAAGGAAAAAGAAAAAAAGAAAAGAAAAAAAAACTAATAATAAAAATAAACAAATAAATGAAACAATTTAATAAAAATAAACAAATAATAAAAGATTCTAAACAGTCCCCAAAAAATTAATAAAAACATTAAACAAGTGTAGGGGCATAAAAGACATTTTCGGTTATGCGGCGGAAGGGCCAAAATGGGACGTTGAGTAATGGGAGCATTATGTCGTATACCACGAAAACGACACTGTAATTCGACAAGAAAAAAGTTGTCCTTTTTTTTCTGTATAAAAAGAGGCGATCTATTTAGTTGGAAAAAAAATGGAGAAGAAACAGCCATTGATGAGCATTTGAGCTGAGTTTAAAACCTCATTATCCCTAGAACCATTTTCACCTCTCTTCAGTAGTCGTTGAGTGCTTTTTGGGCTTTTTTCAGAGTTTTAACCTTTTTTCACCAATGGCGGCAAACTTAGCAGAGCGACGAAGATACTCTTCGGAGGCGGTTTACTGTTAGAAGAAGCGCAAGAACAATCTCTTTCGCCCCGTTTCTTTCCTTTTTTATCATAATTTTCTTCTCGGTTTCTTTGCTTCGCCTGAAATCTACGAAAGTCGCTCATATACAGCACGAAGAAGCTGCCAATGGAGTCCTTAATGTCATTTGATATACGATAAACAGCTACTGTTGTTATCTGCAAAGTGGGGTTTTTTTTTTTTTTTTTGGGTTCCCTCTTCAAATTTATTGTTGTTGAAGTTTTATCATTAGTTGTGTGTTGTGTTTAACGGATTTATGTTAAACCTAGTTAGCAGTTGATGGAAGTTACTGTGGTGGATTTGGGAATTTGTTTGAGGAGTGGTTTTAGTTTGAAGATCTCACAGTTGTGTTGGCTGGTCTTTCTTGCAATTTAGTGAGTTAATTGAGGGAAGGTTTGTTATTTTTAGCTTGATTGGTGAATTAGGGTTCCTATTGTAGTGTGAGGATAGAAGATGGGGATAGAGGACAGGACATTGCTGCCGACCGTGGGACCTCCCATAAAGAGGAAATTGAGAAGGAAACAAGTTGGAAGAGGATCTTACAGAGGGAGCTAGGATTTGGATTTTCTGCATTGAATTTTAGTATCTTTTGTGGGGTGTTTTCTTTTTAATAAATTAGATTGGGGTGTTGGTGTTAGGACTTTGCTCGTTTGGGGAAAAAAAGATGGGGAGTCGATTGCAGCAAGCGCTGAGGAGCTTTTGTTTCAACTGTGGTTGGAAATATGCAGTTTTTTGGAAGCTCAGGCATCGAACGAGGATGTGAGTCCTTTACTTTTTACAAATTTTTAGCCATACCGAATATATGTTGAAAATGTTCGTGGATTTACATAGTTACTTGTATGGGAATTTCATGTAAGTTCTAATGATACAAATAACAAAAGATTATTTAGGTTTGAACATATTTTGAAGTAGCAAAATCGGGGTGCCTACTGCCTAGTGGTTATTTCAAGCACATAAAAGAAAAGATCGGAGGCTTTATGCCTTCCTGAACTTCCTTTTGAAGCTTTTGGATTTGAAACTACAAATCATGAAGCGTTTAGTCAAAAAATGCGCTCGAAATAAATATAATGTCTGTTTTTGACATAGTGGTTGATCAAAGAATCTGGTTTGGTAGTATTATGAAAATGGATTTTATGTTTGCAAATTTCTTGCAGGATGTTAACTTGGGATGATGCTTATTATGATGGGAATCAATCTGAAAAGAAGTGGTTCAGTCATGCAGCAGGAAGCTCGATTGAGGGTTCTTACTCACATGATCTTCTTGGATTAGCTGTGGCAAAGATGTCTTATCAAGTATATTCGCTTGGGGAAGGGTATGGCATTTACCACCATCGGGCATTTCCAGTTTACTCTTTAGTGCACTCTGTATGTTTGCTTTGCCAGGTTTATTTCATTTTCTCTAGATCTATTTTGAAACTAAATAAGTGAGCTAATGATTGATGGGGACAACATAAAGATATTATCCACAATGTTTTACAGGAGGGATGTTGTAGAATTTGATAGTATCATTTGTTTGATCTTTTGTACACATTTATGTGATTACAAGTATTGCACACACACACAAACATATGATATTCTTTGTTTTTCATGTATTTTATAGAATCTTTCTGGCATTTGGTCCGGCAGGGTTGTTGGAAAGGTAGCAGTTTCTGGAAAGCATTCATGGATATTTTCAGATGAGCTCGATTCTTTCTCCACATCTGAGGTATATGTACTGCAATGTTCCATTTCTGGAATTATAAAGAATTTCTTTGTCCACTCTGTTTGCAGCACGTGTTTCTCTAGAGTCCAGAAAGAAAGGTTTTTAAGTTAACTTGGATTATGTTAAATCAGACATGCCTTTTGGCTTAAAGTGACTTATTGATTAACAAAAAGTTCTTTTTTGGTTGATTGAAACGGACATATATCGATGGTTTTTCTGTTTTGTGTGAGTCTTTTCAGTTGTTAAACCAGAACAATAAGATGTCCCATATGAAATGCTTGTTTGAATTTCTAGATATGTTTTTAGTTGACGATGAGTGGAGCTGGGTATAGTATAACCTTTAAAGATCTCTTTTTTACTGAAATGTGTTAGTAATCTTGTCCGTTTTTCTAATTTATTAATTTTGTGTTATTCAGTATTCTGATGGATGGCAAACTCAGTTTCAAGCTGGCATTCAGGTGAATACCATTCTTATTTGTTTTTATCTCTTCTTGTTGACTAAGGCTTTTACATTGGTGAATAATAAAATTTAACCAATTGACATTAGAAGAACAAAGAGATTTAGATATGTTTGTATAGTGTCTATGCACCAAGTGTTGGTGTACCTCGATTCTCGGTTGTTTATCTCAGAATATTTTTAATATGAGATTTTCCTGTCTTGCAGACCATTGTAGTTGTGGATGTCATTCCACATGGAGTTGTACAAATAGGCTCTCTGCACAAAGTATGTTTCTTCAAAACCTATGATGCAGTCCGCATTTCTTGTGTCCATTTAGCTTGCAGACTTACATTTATTCCTTCAATCTTTGAGTGGATCAGATTTCTGAGGATGTGAAGCTTGTAGACCACATCAGAACTGTTATTTCTGGCATACAAGATTCTTTACGCGATTGTATTCCCAGTTCAATAAAAAATAACACCGAAAATTCTTTTCTGGTGAACATTTCTCTCTCTCCCTCTCTCTCTCTCTCTCTCTCTCTCTCTCTGCATGTGTGCAAAATATTTTCTCCCCAGTTCTTATACTTTGCATTCTCTATCAGTCAGATACCTGCACGAAATTCCCAGACTCAACTTCTCACGATTCCATTGTCAAAACAAAAGGATCTCTTCATGAGGATGAGGTGAACTTGTGGTCTCAGTTACTTTCACCTCTTAGGGAATCTGTTAATCAGTCTCATCATGCTTTCTCTCAAATCGGGGACTTCTCATATAAAACTCTTGAAAACAACATTTAAGAAAGAGCCGGGCTTTCAATGCCCGGAAATGAAATTTCGCTTCCCTCGAGCTCTGTAAATATTCTTTCAATGCCATTAGAAACTACTCAACACTCTGAGAACCCACAACTTCCAATCGAGCCAAATCGTGAAGAGATTCGTGTTTCACCTTTCGGATTTTGTGCTGGGTATGAACTGTATGAAGCATTAGGACCTTCCTTCCCGGGGCAAAGAAATCGGGAGGCCAGAAAAACGGGCCTTGACACGGCTGTTGATATTTCCGAGGGAATAGGCGACAGTTGCAGTTTGCTAACAGGAAACTCCGATGGGAACCTTCTAGAAGCAGTGGTGGCCCGAGCAAACAGTCAAAAAGGGTATCGAACAGAAAGCGAGAGGTCATGCCTCGAATCCCTGGTGACCTTTGACAGAACATTGTGCAATAGTTTGGGCACTATTAGTTCGTTTGACGGGGACACATCGTGTAGCTTGAACTCGGTCAAACCGAATAGAAAACGGGCCAGGCCCGGTGAGAGTACTAGGCCAAGGCCAAGGGACAGGCAGTTGATCCAAGATCGGATAAAGGAACTGAGGGAACTCGTGCCAAGTGGATCTAAGGTTATGTCAGTCCAATACTATATAGTAATAATCCATTACGCTTTAAATTTTATTTTTTATTTTTTCTTCTAGAGTTTTCTGCTGAAATTCTTGAAACAAACAGTGCAGTATAGATTCACTTATTGAGAGAACTATTAAGCACATGATGTTTTTGCAAAGTGTAACGAAGCATGCAGATAAACTGAACAGGTGCTCGGTGTCGAAGGTAAATGGTATTATATTGTTCAGTCTAACTTAATTGCAATTCTCTGTTCTTTCAATCAGTTGCCATGTTAATTTAATTTAACAAGAATGTATGATTTTTTTTTTATTTTTTTTCAGTTGCTTGCCAAGGAAACAGGTATCCGTAGATTCTCCTGTCGTGATCAGGGCTCGAGCTGGGCTGTCGAATTGGGAAACAGCCAAAAGGTCTGCCCGATAATAGTGGAAAATATAAATATGAATGGGCAAATGCTTGTAGAGGTAAACTAAACATCAAATCAAAGGAAAACATTAAAATCTCAATTTCTGCTAGTTGGTACCACACTCAAAATCGTTATATCCCGCGCATAAAAAAAAAAACACTTATTATTTCTTTGATTTTTGCTTATTATCTCCACAAATGTAGATGTTGAGCAAAGAGAGTGGTCAGTTTTTAGAAACTGCAGAGGCTCTCAGAAGCTTAGGCCTAAACATACTGAAAGGCGTGTGAAGAAGCCTATGGAGATCAGATATGGATGTACTTTGTAGTAGAGGTGCAAGTCAAACTCATTGTTAATAAAAAAATGTTCGTATAAACTAAATGAATAATCGAGTTTATATTCCTTAATTGGTATTAATTGGTGTTTTTTAGGGGGATAATAACCGAAGCATGCACCGGATGGATGTGTTATGGTCTCTTATGCAGCTTTTGCAACCGAAATCGGCTAATTGATCTCTGTTGTTCAATAAATTAGTATTTCGCATTGTGTGTCTTCATAGTAAGCTGGTTTTTTTCCCCTTGCTTTCCCTTTTTCGTTTGGTTTTGATTTAATTTATGCTGAGTTGTGTGTTGTTTGCAATGTTATCATTTTCCTGTGTGGGATACTGGAAATATTGAATTGATATTCCTTTGTATTCAAATCTCCTCACAGTTAGTGATAACTGTCAAGAGATTGATTCATTGTTTTTATGGGCCCACACGCTTTTAACATCTGTTGAGAGCTTCGATAGAAAAAATACGCAGTCGAAACACGACTTCTACTTGAACTAGCCACCACTCTATCACTCTATGAGAAACCCTTGATCATTTTATTTATAATAACGGGAAATGCTACGGTCTGTTACGAAATTATTTTAAAATTATATAAATAATTAATATTTAGATACAAAGCCTCCAGAAGGGTTTTGTGGATAAGACTAATAACTCAAAACTGTTATGAAATACGGGGAATATAAAGAACACAATGTATAGAAACCGGATATAAACTGGAACAGACCTTTTCCTTTCTTTCACTTCACTCACTTTCGTATTTTCAGTACAATCATTTGTAATACATTACTTAACCATTTTATAGGCCAAGTTTGGCACACATATCTAGACATATTAAATATAATAATGTATGATAATGTTCATTAGAAACTAGTGGTAAATTCCACTTTTTACACAATAAAAACAAAATTATGTGTTTTGGATTAAAAAGCATTTCCGACAAAATCTTTTTTGTTCTCAAGTCTTTTCCCCATAAAATCATCACTCACCTCGTGTTTTTCCTCTTGGTTTTCGCTCTTTTCTATGAAGTAAAAGAATTATACTAATAACAATACTAATACTATTAATTATAAACTAATTATTTTATATTTAGTACAATTCTTATTTTATATTGGATGTTAATGTTACGACGAACTCTTTAAGTGTCGTAGGAGGTATTTATCGCTCAGATCTAGGCGTTCGATTCTCTTTTTTGAAGTATATGCATCGATATAAGGGATCATCTAGCATTTTTGGATTGTGGCTATATATCGGGCGTGGATCTGACTTGAAATGAGTTGGAGCCGAATTTTTGTGGTAATTGAAATTGCGATAAAAGAGTGGCATAAATAAGAAAAAAAAATAACATTATATCTAAATTTCAATTTTTTAAAATAAATTCAAAATGAAATCTTCTACAATATCTTTAATATTTTGGAAATTTTCAGTATTATGCATTATAATTACTTGAAATGTATTATTGTCAATACAAAATATTCATTATCCACTGCAAGTACATTAAGTAGTATATATGTCATTAAATTATCTCATTATTATTCAGTTACATAATTGTCATATGATGTATGTTAACCTTCTACGATATTAATAAGTGCACTTATTAAATTGTATTTGACGTGGGTATAGGAGAGCTGAAATATTTCTTAATATGTTGGATCAAAGATTTTATTATAATTCTATTTTATAGATTATTTCATGTTGACACGAATTTTCATCAGCAATAATTCTCTATCATAACAATTATTATATGTTTATTTAAAAATACAACGGATGAATAATACATACATTGTAATAAAAAAATTCTAACATGAGCATACAAGAGAAAAAAAAAAAAAAAAAACTAATTAATAACAAACTTTCATTTAAATATTATTTTTATAAAATTACCGTAATCGTTGACCTGGTTGTAATAGTCAGTCACGAAACGGTGACATGGTTTACCGTAAATCCTACGTGGCATCTGCTTGGGAAAATTTCCATGTCGCCACGAAAGATTTTTCCAACTCATCACCATTATTATCCAATTAATTCCTTTCACCGACTTATTTTTCCTTTTTCTACAAGGAAAAAAAAATATTTTATTATTTATTAAAAAAAAAAGTGAAAGTACAATGTGTTTTGGACACGTGACCCATCCTTGGCCTTAGATTTGGTCACAACTAACTCCTTTATCTGACCGTTGGAAAATTTCCTGTCCATTAAA